GGACTGTCCTGAGTTTCTTCTAATTGGCATATCCCTTCTGTAGTCCTAAGAATTGCTGGTAAACCATGTAATGGTGCCTGTCACAGCAGGGCTCCCAAGTCAGGACAGACCCCATACCTGCTGATAGGAATTCCTCTCTTCATACCTAAGTTTTATCTCCTAGGGGGCTGGGTGAGCTGTCACATGAATGACTGCAAGGACCTCAGTCTGGCAACTGCCCTCGTGGCAAATTCTGAATGGTTTCTATCTGAAATCCTTTTAATAACTTCCTGCTAACTGTGCCTTATGTGGACATACGTCTGAATAATTGGAAGAACCTAAGAACACCTTGATTAGCTCAGAGGTAGAGTGCCCCAGGGTTCCATCCCCAGTACAAAAGACACTGTCCATTCTGCAAGTTCAACTGCTCATTCATACTGTGCCCATCTTACCCTAATTCCTTTCTGTCTAGCAATTTCCGTGTGATGTTAAAGTTGATGCAGTCATTTTAGCTGCAGTTCCCAGAGCAGACTTGAAGACATGGGTGTAGATGTGAGTCTGCTCAGTTGCCTTAGAAGAGATAATTAGGGGTGTTGCTTTTGATTGTTTTCCTTTCAGCTTGTCCTGTGAATGTGCGTTTTCCCAGACATTTACTTGGTAGGTAAATTTCATACATTTATCAATTTGCATATCATCTACTTAGTTATCTCTTACTGTTGTAGTCCATAAAGACTTCTTTTCTGTACAGAAGATATAATAGCATAAAGAATAGCTGAAAATACCCAGTTTTTCATTTGTTGATACTTACATGATTGTACATTCAGATGAAGTTCTGATGCTTGATTACTGCTTACCCAGGGAGAAAGATTTTCAGAGAATTAAGTATTTGTATTTTGCTGTATTATTTTAGTGCCTTTTTTGACTATATACTCTTATTTTTTATTCTTTATTCAGAGAGCCATTAAGAAAACTAGCAAGTGAACTAGTCAGAAAARTTCCTTGTTATTAATAATCTAGTTCCATATTCTACAATTAGATTAAGTGTCCAGAAACGGAGAGCCATGAGAGAGTGRAATTTTATCCAGAGATTTATTTCTCAGTATCCACAGGCCTAGAAAGTGGCTTTCAAATTGYGTTGTGGGGGCCCCTTCAGGTGATGCTGCGGGCAACCTGTGGAAAGGTAGGAACGCCACGGGTGCAGGAGCTTGGGTCACTGCCTTCTGGGCAAGAGCAGTGCCACTCAGATCTGCTTCATTTACTTGTCACTCATGGCATGAATTTTTTTTTTAATTAAAAACCACTGATCACCAGGAAGATTACAAGTTCAAAGCCAGCTTCAGCAACTTAGTGAGACYCTGTCTCAAAAAAACAAAAAGGGCTGGGGGTGTGGCTCAGTGGTTAAGCGCCCCTAGGTTCAATCGCAATCCCCAGTACCAAAACAAAAACACTGATCATGAATATAGTCTGAGTCCAAGATAAAACTAACATGAGAATAAAACATAGTCTGTGACGAAGCTTACTACAGATGTAGTGAAACAATTACCAAACCATCACTCCAAGACTATTTCCTAATTTGAGATACAAATTAAGGAACTTGCCTTTTAGATTTTTAGCCCTCAACAGATAAGCAATAGAAAAGGTAAAGGGTTCAGGCACACTGACAATAATAAGGATAATTGATAATTTCATGCTGAGGAACTACTCAAAGAAAAAAGTACTAAAATCAAACTCAACAAGAATAGTCTGTGGCCAGATAGTCTCGTATATCATATGCCCTATAAAGGCATCATTTACAATATAGCCTATGCAATAAGTGATGCTTGTGTGTGTGCATATTCCCAGACATTTGCTTGGTAGGTATTCTTTTCTTTTTAATATATTTATGGTTGTACATGGACACAATGCCTTTATTTTTATTTATTTAATTATATGTGGTGCTGAGGACCAAACCCCAGTGCCTCACCCACGCTAGGTGAGCACTCTACCACTGAGCCACAACCCCAGCCCTTTGGTAGATATTCCAAATGGGAATTAGCAGTCAGAATGGGGAGAGGTGAGCAAGGCTTGGGCCATAAGATGTATTGCATTCCATGTTAGTCAGGACCTTCGTTTGCCAGTGTCAAAAAGATTACATTTGCCCAGGGAGTGTTTGTTGTTATTGGCTCTCTGAATTAAGAAGTCTAGAACACAGCTGAAGAACAAGAGGCTTTCGTCTCTCACCACTGCTGTGTAATTATGAGTGCTTCATCCTCTCCTGTTGTACAGTTTTTCTCCCCAAAGCAAACTGCCACTGGGTGGTTTTGGGTTCACAACCTTGACTTGTTTTTGATTTTTTTTTTTGGTTGTTGTTGTTGTTTAGTAGTAAGATATACATTTTGTTTTATTACTTACCATTTGAATAATTTTTAAATGCGTCATTCATTGGCATTAGTGCATTCCCACAGCCGTCGCCATCAGCTGCTTGCAGAACTTGAACACCCAAACCAGAACTCTGTACCCATTAGACACTAACTTCCCATGCTCCCCAGTCACCCTGCTAACTGCGATTTAACTTTCTTTCCCTGTGAACTACTAAGGTACCTCACGTAAGTTAGATCATAAAATGTTTGTCCTTTTGAGTCTGACCAGGTGTACTACTACCTTTAGTTTTGAGGAAGGGACCCTCTCTGTGCACATTCTTCCATCCCCTAGCTCCATTTGAATAACTAACCCTGAAAGAAAACTCTCATTGGCTTGAGTAGTGTGCTTGCTTTCAGACCAGGAGGAAGATGGGCGCTGTGACTCACTGGGCTTGGCCACCCTAGACTCTACCCCAATTCTATGTGTGAACACCTTCTCATGGAGTCAAGCCTTCCCTAACTAAAACAGTACCCATGTCACTCTCGTCAGAGGTACTGTTTTGTTCTCTTTGCTCTGCTTTGTTCTCTTCTTTTCAAGCACACATCATTGTCTCTTACTTTAGGTTACTTTTTTGTTTGTTTGTGAAAAGGAAACTTACTCTTTCCCAGGCTTGTCTCTAACTCCCAGACTCAAGTGGCCCTGCGTCAGCCTCCCAGTAGCTGGGTCTGCAGACCTGTCACTGATTTTCTTTTAGACTATAAGACTGATATCATCAGAGGCCTTCTGTGTCTCACACACTCCGTGTTCCCAGTGTCTAGAACAATGACTGGGACATACTAGGAACTCAGCACATATTTTTAATTAATTGATTAGAAATTAGGCTGAAGATAACTATTCAGTATTTGCTGGTAAATGTGAGTAAAAAGTTATTATTCTTCCACCTCCCTAGTGAAGATAAAGAACTAGAAATTGAGAGGAACTGAACTTGACTTTATGAACACAGTAGTTAAAATTTTTGCCCAAATAGCAAGAAAACTAAGTTTTAGAAAGATGAATAATGGGGAAAACTTAATCTTGCATAATGGATGCATAAGCAGAGTCCTGAAATTGTAGTAGAACAAGCATTTTCTAAAATTCCTCTCTATTTATGGTCATTTGTGCTTAAACTATAAATGTAAGTATATAAACCCATCAGGTGTGTGCACATACTTTTGCTGATTAACAAATCTACTAGCAAAGTAGATTGGAGTTTTAAGCCGAAGTGGGCGGTATTGTCCTTTCAGAATTGCCCTTAGCAAATATGCTGCCTGCATCAACATCACTCAGATCCTGTCATTATAGCCACCTCAGCTCTCTTCCTCTACTTGTAAGACAAAGCAGAGCAAGGGACAGACTGATCTGAAGACAAGAAAAAATAGGCAGAGTGCCCACTTACTTATGCTTCCTGATATTGCTTTCTATCTTTTGCCTTCCTTAGTTTACTTTCCTCATGACCCCAAACTTAGCCACTGTGACACCTCTTCCAAGGTACTCTGTCCACCCCCTCAAAATGACTACTTTCCTATCCCCTCCTGCACCCAGGCACACCTCACCTCTAAATCCAGTTAGAATCCCTGTTCYCTAAGAGGAAAGCAAATCACATTGCCCAGGAATGCTCCCCTGTCCCCACCAGCTGACAACCTCACAAGCTTCTCTAGGTGCCCTAATCCCTTAGGGAAAGACTTTCTTCTTACTGCCTGTCTTAGYTTTTTTTCTTAATACCTGTCTGAACCAGAAAATAAGTTCCCTGTGGGATCTTCTCGCTATTATTCCTGGAAGGTTAAACAGGGAAACCTTTAACCAAAAGTTTCTGAAGCATCCCCTACCCCCACATTCAGCTCTTAGGAAGTGGAAGACAGATACAGAATAATTAATAATTTGGTTTAAATCATAATATCACCCTCTCCCTTTTGTTCATAATAATTGAGCATTTATTCTTCACTGATAGAGGCTTAATGGTGGTCATGCATTTTAGGAACTGCATATCAAATTAACTRCTAAATTCTACTTTTCACTTGTGCTTTATCTGACTATTCATTACTCTTGTACTGAGATTAGCAGTTCTCACTTTAAGAGGAARCTGAAACTGCTATTCTGTACTATGAAATTAATATATATTGTTAGAATATCATGGTTTTAAAAGAAAAAAACTGAAATGTTGGCATTTCCTGCTTAATCTGTGGGAACTCTTGGTCTTCTTCTGGAAACTTGCATGCTTTGAAATCACTTATCTTTATGCTATACATGGTTAGGAAACCGAATATCACTACCCTTGAAATTTAAAAAGGCAAGTCAGATTCTTTAGATTTGGGAACAAGCTTGGAAATAAATGTTCTGTCAGTTTTTCCCACACCGGGTGTAACCACGCTTACTGGTTGGATAACGGTGCGGGTTTATTGCCCGCAGCTCGGTTCAGCCTCACTCTTACTGAGCTGCTGCGGTGCACGGTTGCTGGTCTCCTCTTTTCCAAGATAGACAGCCCAGCCAGAAGTCCACACTGTGAGGCTCAACAAAATGTTGACTTCTTTTCCTGGGGCTGATAAACCTAGGGAACTTTGGTGTGTCCGATTTATTTTATAGTTTATATAGTTTCATGCTTTTGCAATTTCTTAGACTTCTAAAATGTATTATTTCTTTTCTAGGACAATGAAGGTCAAACAGCTCTTCATTATGGTAAGATAATTCAAAATTATTTAAGAACCATATTTGAATATTTTCTCTGTTTATCTCAACTTTGTACAAACTTATGTARTGTTTACAAAAGTACATGGCAGTTACAGCCGAGCTATGACAACTTTTGGTTATTAATCTGTTTATTAAATTAATAACCTATAAAGTTGGAGATGTATTAAAATTCTTATGGACACAATCATAGTAAATTATATGTTTCTATACTGTCATCAAAAACAGAAGCTACTCCAACCCCCTATCAAAAATTCATTATTTCATTCCCAGTTCTACTAGTGACAGCTAAGAGGCAAATTATTATCACTGTAGAATCTAGTTTCTCTCCTGTAAGAAATTCTTTCTTGATGTACAGTAGCCCCCTCACTCCTGTCTGCGGTTTGCTTTTTGCAGTTTTAGTTACCTTGGTCAGCCACAGTCCAAAAATATTTATTCTAAAAATTACAGAAATAGATAATACATTTTAAATTGTATGCTGTTCTGAGTAGCATGATGAAATCTCACTCCATCCAGGTCCATCAACCCAGGACATGAATCATCTTTTGTCCAACCTATTCATGCTCTGCATACTGCACTACCTATGCACCAGCCACTTAGTAAAGTAGCTACTGATTGGCCTAGCCAGGTAATCATTACTTCAGTAATCTATAGAGTAAAAGTAATCCATAATAAATAATACTATAGGCCAAGTGCAGAGGCACACACCTGTAATCCCAGCTACTAGGGAAGCAGAGACAGGAGGATCCAAGTTCAAGGGCACCCTGGGCAACTTGGACCATGTCTCAAAATAAAATTTAAATAAGGGCTGAGCGGGGCTGAGGGTGCTGTGGCTCAGTGGTAGAGCCATTTCCTACCACATGTGAGGCACTGGATTCTATCCTCAACACCACATAAAAATAAATAAATGAAATAAAGGTATTATGTCCATCTACAACTAAAAAAAAAAAAATTTAAGGAGGGCTGGGGGTGTGGGTGTGGTTCAACAATAGTGCACTTGCCTAGCATGTGCAAGGCCCTAGGTTTGTTCCTCAGTACCTCAGAAAAAAGAAGGAAAGAAGTAAAGAAAGATCGCTCTTAGAGACTATTAGATAAATTCAGTGAAATACAAGAGATTATTTTATAAATTAAAAAGTACGAGTGAATACAACTGAAGGATTCTGTTTGGATGTAAGTATAATTGACTAAAATACAGCCATCAATATTTAATCCAGGGGATAGGGACATAACTCAGTGGTAGAGCATTTTCTTAGTATGCATGAGGTCCTGAGTTCAATCCCCAGCACTGCAAAATAAATTAATTAATTAACCAGATTAAGGATCAACCACCTTCAAATATTTTAGGAAGGAATACTTTAGGCCACCTGGGCAATCTTGGCATCCTAGATTGCCATTTAGTAGCAAGTGGCCCAGATGCTCTTGGATACCTTTGTCTACTCTTTAGGGATTATTTGGATATTAGGAACCTCACTGAATTATCTAGAAGTCTAAACCATTGGACTAGCTATTACGCTACCCACATAAATCAGCCGTGTAATGAAGATTGAAATGTCAATATATGTCTGCCCCAACTCACACATGAGTTAGCCAGTATAACCCTGAGTACTAAAGCAGGAAAAAAGAAAATTGTGAGTCAGTYTCACTGTCGAACATAGATATAAAAATTTTCAGGAAAACATTAGCAAATGAAATTCATCGTTGTATTTTAAAAAGAAAGGTATTATAATCAAGTTGGATTTATCCCAGAAATTCAAGGATGATGTAACATTTAAAACTTTATTAATGAAATTTTCCACATTTGCAAGTTAGGTGAAAAACCACATGGTGGTATTGACTGCAGAAAAAGCTTTTGAGGAAATTCAACCCACATTCTAAGAAGGAGTATAGAAAAATGCTTGAGATCTTGTGCTTTTAGCCAGACTTTGCATTCAGATTCTGGTTCTACTATTGACTTTGACAGATTATTTAACTTGTACTTTGGTTTATACATGATGAAATAGAGATAATAACCTTAGAGATTTGTTATGAGAATATAATAAACTAATCCATGCAAAGTGCTTAAACAATGTCTGATCCCTGGTATGTATCCAATAAATGTTAGCTGGTTTTATTTCTTATGCTAAAAGCCCCTAATTTATTAGAAGTATATAATTTTATTTATAACATTAATATATATGCACATATGTGTGTATATGTATATGTGTATGTAAAAATAAATACCACCTGCAAAAAAGGTTCAATGGAAGAGTTACATAGAAGAAGTGTTTTTTTCTGTGTATCACTAGAGTCAATCTATTTAAATCTGATACTGATTCTGATTAGTTGAGATGTAAACCCTAGGGGACGAAACAAAAAACTTTTTAAAAAGCCCTGAAAGAATCATTGAAAAATTAAAATAGTACATTAACAAAGTACTATATTTATTTAACATAAAAGCAAAGTAGTAAAGGAAGAGTAGAGGAACCAAAAAGACATGATACTTCTAGAAAGCAAAATGGGAAATGGGAGATGTTAATTCAACTATAATTAATAATAACAACTCAATCAAAAGGCTAAAGGTCATGATCCAGCTTTGTGTTGTCTATGGGAGACTTTCTTTAGATTCAATGTTTCAAGGGCTGGGGCTGTAGCTCAGTGGTAGAGCACTAGCCTAGCATGTGTGAGGCATGGATTCAATCCTCAGCACCACGTAAAAATAAATAAAGGTGTTGCGTCCATCTACACCAAAAAAAAAAAAAAAAAAGATTCAAAAGACTGAAAGTAAAATGTAAAAAAAGAGGTGTCATGTGAACAGAAGCCACAACAAGTAAGAGGAAGTAGGTGGTGTGACCAGGTGACAGAAGATGGCAGAGTAGAGGAAAGCTGCATTCCAAGCTGTGCCGTTGCATGGACCCAAAGCAGCAGGTGTACAGCTTCTCAGTAATGTGGGTAAAAGAGGGATTTCACTAAAATTTAATATTGGACACTGAAAGCAGCTTAGGGACTCAGAAATGGGTACAATAAACAAAGAAGAAAGAAAACATCACAGCAAACCCAGTGGCCCCATACGTGTCACCAGTACTTCTTCACCATGGGCAGAGGGAGGGGGATCACAATCTTGGTAAGGAAAAAACTGAGATCAAAAATGCTGCTTAGGGGCCAGGGTTGTGGGTCAATAATAGAGTGCTTGCCTAGCATGCATGAGGCACTGAGGCATCATATAAAAATAAACAAAATAAAGGTAAAAAATATATATATATACTGCTTAATCTTAGGTGACCCAGAGGCTGCACCATGCACTGGTGCGTGAAAAGCCCGCTTTGTATCTCAATTGGCTGTGGAGAGCTGAGAGAGGGCCATCTTGGGATGARCATGTTGCTTCAGTGACTATGGGACCTGGGAGATCAGGAAAAAACAAAAATAATAAACAGAAACACACAGGCACAATATCCCCTGCAAGCAAATATGACCTGCCCAAACTGAATCAGGAAGATATGGAAAACATAAACACAACAATTTTTTTTTTTTGATACAAGGAATTGAACCCAGGGGTATTTAACCACTGAGCCACATCTCTAGCCCTTTTTTAAAATTTTGAGACAGGGTCTCACTAAGTTGCTGAAGCTGGCTTTGAACTTATGATCCTTTTGCCTCAGCCTCCCACGCTTCTGGGATTACAGACTTGTGACACCACACCTGGGTAAACACACCAATATCAAGTAATAAAATTGAAACAGCAATTAAAAGTCTTCCAAAAAGGAAAAGCCCAGGACCTGATGGATTCTCAACCGAGTTCTACCAGACCTTTACAGAAGAACAAACACCAGTCTTTCTCAAATTATTCCATGATTTTGGAAGAGAGGGAACATTCCCAAATACTTTTTATGAAGCCAGTATAACCCTGATGCCAAAACCAGACAAAGAGGCATCAAGGAAATAAAACTACATACCAGTATCCCTAATGAACATATGCAACAATCTTTAATAAAATATTAGCAAATCACATTCAAAAACACATCAAGGGGCTGGGGTTGTGGCTCAGCAGTAGAGTGCTCACCTGGGTTCGATCCTCAGCACCACATAAAAGTGAATAAATAAAGGTATTGTGTCCAACTGCAACTAAAAAATAAATATATAAACACACACATTCACACACATCAAAAAGATAATACACCATGATCAAGTGCTCTCATTCCAGGGATGTAAGTTGGTTTAACATGCACAGAGCAATATATGTAATTCAGAAATCATATGATCATCTCAATAGATGCAGAAAAGTCTTTTTTTAAAACAATTTTTTTATGTTTATTTATTTTTAGTTGTAGCTGGACACAATACTTTTTWAATTTTATTTATTTATATGTGGTGCTGAGGATCAAACCCAGGGCCTCACACGTGAGAGGCGAGCACTGTACCGCTGAGCCACAACCCCAGCCCCCAGAAAAGTCTTTAGATAAAATTCAACACCATTGATATTAAAAATGCTGGAGAAGCTAGTGATTTAAGGAATTTACCTCAACATTGTAAAGGCCAGTTATGACAAATCCTGACCCTAACATTATACTGAATGGAAAAAAACTAAAAGCAATTTCCTCTAAGTTCAGGAACAAGACAAGGCTGCCACTCTCACCACTCCTATTTAATTTAGCCCTCAAAACATTCGCCAGAGTAATCAGACAAGAAAAGGAAATCAAAGGGATTACAAATAGGAAAAAAAGAAGTCAAACTCTCTCTGTTGGCTTACAATATAATCCTTATTTTAACAGACCCACCAGAAGACTTCTATTAATTTAGCAAAGTAGCAAGATACAGAATCAACATCCATAAATTAATAGCTTTCCTGTAATCCAACAGTGATTCAACCAAGGAAGAAATCAGGAAACTGTCCCATTCACAGTAAACTCAAAAAAAATTTTTTTAAATACTTGGGAATTAATCTGACCAAGGAGGCAAAACAGCTTTTTAATGAAAATTCTAGAACACTAAAGAAAGAAATTGAAGAAGACCTTAAA